AACCTCCCCCACCATCAACATCCCACACCAGTGTGGTACATTTGTTGTAATCAATGAACCTACATTGACACATCGTCCATAATGTAAGTCCATAGCTTACATTAGGGTTCGCTATCTGCGTTGTACACTCTGTAGGTTTTGGTAACTGTCCAATAGCATGTATCCACCATTATACAGAAGAGTTTCACTGCCGTGAAAATCTCCTGTGCTCTACCTATTCCTCTCTCCCTCCTTCCCCCAGAGCCCAAGGAACCACTGATCTTTTGTTCTCTCCAGTTTTGTCTTTTCCAGAATGCCACATAGTGAAAATCATACTATGTGGCCTTTTCAGATTGGCTTCTTTCACTTGGTAATTTTTTTTTTTTTTTAGACAGGGTCTCAGGCTGTCACCCAGGCTGGAGTGCAGTGGTGCGATCGTGGCTCACTGCAACCTCTGCCTCCTGGTTTAAAGCAATTCTCCCACCTCAACCTCCCAAGTAGCTGAGAGTACAGGTGGGTGCCACCATGCCTGGCTAATTTTTGTATTTTTAGTGGAAACAGGGTTTCACCATGCTGGCCAGGCTGGTCTCAAACTCCTGTACTCAAGTGATCTCGGCCTCCCAAAGTGCTGGGATTACAGGCATGAGCCATCGCGCCCAGCCATTTAGTAATTTGTCTTTAAGATTCTTCCATGTCTTTTCATAGCTAGATAACTCATTTCTTTTTAGCACTGTATAATATCCCCTTGTCTGGATGTACCAAAATGTATCCATTCACCTACTGAAGGACATCTTGGTTGCTTCCAAGTTTTGCAATTATGAGTAAAGCTGCTATAAACCTCTGTGTTTAGGTTTTTGTGTGGGCATAAGTTTTCAAACACATTTAGCTAAATACCAAGGAGCACAATTGATCATATGATAAGAGTATGTTTAGTTTCATGAGAAACATCAAGCTGTCTTCCAAAGTGGCTGTATCATTTTGCATTCTCATCAGCAGTGAATTAGAGTTCCTATTGCTATACATCCTTATTGGGTTTTGTCAGTATTTTGGATTTTCACCATTCTCATAGGTGGATGAAAATATTTAATTTGCAATTCCGTAATGAAGTTGAGCATCTTTTCATATGCTTATTTGCCATTTGTGTATCTTCTTTGGTGAGGCGTCCAGATCTCTTCTCCATTCTCTAATTGGGTTGTTCATTTTCTTATTGTTGAGGGTTTTGTTTTGTTTTGTTTTGTTTTGTTTGTTTTGGTTTTAAGAAACAGGGTCTTGCTCTGCCACCCAGGCTGGAGTGCAATGGTGCAATTACAGCTCACTGCAACCTCAATCCTCCCACCTCAGCTTCCCGAGTAGCTAGGACTAGGACTATAGGCACACACCACCATGCCAGGCTAATTTAAAAAAAAAATTTTTTTTGTAGACATTGCTGTGTTACTCAGGCTGGTTTCAGACTCTCAGCCTCAAGCAGTTTTCCTGCCTCTGCCTCCCAAAGCGCTGGGATTATAGGTGTGAACCACCGTGCTTGCCCTTATTGTGGAGTTTTAAGAGTTCTTTGTATATCTTGGATAACAGTCCTTTTTAGATATGCCTCTTGGAAATATTTTCTCCCACTCTGTGGCTTTTACTATTGTTTTAAATAGCTATCTTATACATTATCTACAATAAAACATATTTACACTTTTCATAGTTTATAAAAATTTCCAAATACCCTAGCCTTCATCCATAGATATACTCTTCAGTTATATGAGTGGGTGCTGTTATTAACAGCTCACCTCACTTGGAAGGCCAGGAGATACCCAGTCTGTCCCAGACAGCTCCATGGAAGTTACTACACGTTTTTTTGTTTTTTTTTTTTT